AAAACAAAACAAAACAAAACAAAGATAATAATTATATGGCAGTTAATAAGTCACTTATGTTTTGTACGTATCCGATAATAATAGTTTACAGGTCCCGATCGAGTGTTTTTTTATTGCAGTTTAACAAATGAATGCTATTGTTTTAGTGTCCCAGATAAGCAGAACCTCTACGTTAGCTAGAAATCTCCGCGACACTTGCCACTACCGAATGTATATGTACTTTCCAACTATTTCTTTTGATCGATAGTTTATTAGAGAGAGGGCATATCTGTCAAATAATTATGACTTATCCTTTACTATGGTGTTGTCGTATTCGTGATTTTGAACATTTTTTCTCCTCTAAAAGATCTGCCAGAAATTACATCGATTTCTGTTAACCAGACGCTGAATAAAGGTGACAGTGCGAGTCTGAACTGCACAGGAGATGGTTATCCAACACCAAGCATTACCTGGACCAAAGTTTCTGACAACAGTCCTGTGTCCTTCCCTTTGACAATCACCGGTAAAGAGAACGAGGGGCTGTACAGATGTACTGCAGACAACGGTATTGGAAGTCCAGCAACTACAGATGTCGTCATGTTTGTGCACCGTGAGTGTTAATTAGCATCAGTTGTTGTCATAAATTTAACCCTTGTTGTTCTTTCATATTCTGATGAGAAAGACATTTTGTTACCGAACACTCGAAATAAGTAGCTAAGTTATGTCTCTCTATAACATGCCTTGTATTTCCTTGATTGCCAATCCCTATCGCAAAAAAGAGACATGTACACAACCTCTAAAGAGTAACACTTGAGATGCGAAACTGTTCATAAAAACTGAAGACGGTATTATTGGTGATTACTATAACCATTTCAGAATTTAGCATGAAGCACGGAATTCGAAACGTTTTGTAGCTCCCTTGTTTTGTTTTTGTCCAATACTTAATAACAGTAGAATTTTTTCCCTTGTTTATTTAAGCTGGCCCAAAGTAATCAGATTGACACCTTATAGCCTCAGCCCAGCGAGAGGCTGATCCACATATTGGCAACTGATACATATATTGCCAAACATTTTTCTAGAACGATTAGAACGATTGTAAATATTTTGTCATTCAAAGATCGCAAATATTTTTTTGATGAGATTGAAATTGCAGTCCATATTATATTCTACAGTATACGAACATCTTTATCACTGGCTGTGTTCAGGTTAATGTACATATACACAAAGCATGCAGGTGTATGTGCTGAGTAAGTTGACTCACTTTGGCTTAATGTGTACTTTGCAATTGTCTTTTAAGACAATATTTGAAAATATCTTTCTAATGTTTATGTTGTTTTCTATTCCTTTCAACAGAAGAGTTAAAAAAATGCTTTTGACGTTAGAATTGAATTCAACAGTCTAGTATATAAACCAGAGTACGAAGAGTTGGAGAATGCCAAAACCAAAACACTAGCTTGTCAAACAAATAGAGGATGCTGTAAGTGCTATTTTCTTGCGACTTGGAGACAACACTTTGTAACATTATTGTACTCGTGATTGGTATCGAGTAAATTACATTAAGGATTTATCCCACGAATGATATTTAAGAATTTTCCCAAAATTGCTCTAGTGGAATTGGATCAAATTTTCAGATATCACGAGTTGTGCAAATCCTTACGTCCTTGAGCGAAATTGTGAAATAATAAAAATGCAAATCATAAATGTTTGTTAAAAGAATATTATATTGTCCAGGTAGTGGACATGAATTGTTGTCGGCATTGGGAGTCAGTTTGGTATGCCACGCTTCCAGTGTCTTTCTTGTTCTAAAACTACCTTTATCAGTGATAGAAACGTTTTGAAAGTCAATAAGGTGATCGTGTGACCAGACGTGATTTGCAATCCTTGAGCCTTTGGCCGCTGTTTTGAAATTTCTGAAATGTTCTCTTTTTTTGGTATTGAAATCTCTGCCCGTTTATCCAATAAAGCACCACGAACAACTGGCTCAAGGAATTTTGGACAAGACATTCGTCTGCGAATCCAGCGAAGATCGAAACTTCGAGGCCGGGAACTGTTGTTGTATGGTGATCGATGGTTTGTCATTGGAGAAACTCGTCAATGAGGGTGATGTCCTTATTTCTTACGATGTTACAGCAGTCTTATCGATGAAGCAAACCAAATTTTGGACGACAAAGCTTTCCAAACGAACTGGTTTAACAACTAGTATGATCTCCAGCTAAAGAGAGAAGACCTCGTTGAGTTCCTAGAAGTGTGGGAGTATGTCTTTCTTGTGGCAGAAAGACCATGACAACTCCTTGGTAGAGTGCTGCCATAGATCTTTATTTGTTTCCAGTTACTTACCATCCAATTTTTAATAAAAGATAGCATTAGCATTACCCTACAAGATATAGATACATTTGACGCAGTATTGAGTTTTATGCGTGCACAACTACCAAAACTAAGAATTCTGCACATTTAAATAAATGAGGCAATAGATCTTTTCAGCTTGGGCGGTTTGTTGCCCCATTTCAGACCATGCGATGATACTCTTGAAACTTCTCGCTTTCAAATGTTCGAATAGTCGCGTGTGTATGAATGAATAATTTTTAGACGGATAAAAGAACAATTCTCTAGAGAATATCACGTGGTCTGTAATGTAAAAACAAACCGCCCA